TCGACACGGCGGAAGTTATGCCCTCTGGGACACAGCCCGGCGACAATGCCGGCGGCCCTGCACACCCGCCCCACCCATGGGGCAGGCTCCTCTTGGACGCAGCCTGGCGTGTTTCTCTTGTTGTAGCTGCTGTTGTTGTTGTTGTGGTTGTGGTTGTGGTTGTGGTTGTGGTTGTGCTTGTTGTTGTTGTTCTTGTTGTTGTTGTTGTTGTTGTTGTTGTTGTTTTTGTTGTTTCTTTTTTGTTTGTTTGTTTGTTTGTTTGTGTGTGTGTGTGTGTGTGTGTGTGTGTGTGTGTGTGTGTGTGTGTGTGTTTGGGCACGTCGTAGGTACTGCCCTCTGGGACACAGCCTGGCGACAATGCCAGTGGTCCTGCATACTTACCCCACTTACGAGGCAAGCGCTTTCTGAGCACAGCCTGGCGGAGATGCCAGTGGTCTTGTTTACTTTCGACACGTCGGAGGCTCAGCCCTCTGGGACATAGCCTGGCGGCAATGCTGGCGGTCCTGCACAGCTACCCCACCCACGAGGCATGCGTCTTTTGGACGTCTGTTGCTTTCATTCGTTTAGTCGGAGGCTTCAACTTCCTGGACATCGCTCGGCGGCAATGCCGGCGGTCCTGCACGCTTACCCCACCTACGAGAGCAGTGCCTACTAGACACACACACACACACTGGCGATAATGCTAAGGGTCTTGTCTTCATTCGCTTCGTTGGAGATTCTTTTTCGGGGGCCCAGCCCGGCGGCAATGCTGGCGGTCTTGCGTACCTACCCCACCTACGAGGCAAGCGCTTTCTGAACACAGCCGGGCGGAAATGCCAGTGGTCTCGTGTACTTACGACATGTTGGAGGTTCTGCCCTCCGTGACACAGCCAGGGGGCAATGCTGGCGGTCCTGCACACCTACCCCGCCCACGAGGCATGCGTCTCTTGGACAGCCTGATGTTTTCATTCGATTCGTCGGAGGTTTTAACCTCTGGGGCATAGGCGGGCGGCCAGCTACGAGACCAGCGCCTACTGGACAAATATTAGCGGTAATGCCGAAGGTCCTGTCTGCATTCGCTTCGTCGGACTTTCGTTCTCGTGGACACAGCCCTGCGGCAATGCTGGCGAGCCTGCGCACCTACCCCACTCACGAGGCTTGTGTCTAATGGGCACAACTTTTTGTTTTCATTCGACCCGTCGTTGTTAGCCTCCAGGACATAGCCCGGCGGCAACGCTGGCCGTTCTGCACGCTTGCCCCACATACGAGACAAGCGCTTACTAACACAGACTGGCGGTAATGCCAAGGTCTTGTCTTCATTCGTTTCGTCGGAGATTCTATCCTTCTGGACAAAGCCCAGCGGCAATGCCGGCGGTCCTGCACACCTCCCCCACTTACGTTGCGATCGGTTCCTGCACCGCTTCGCTCTCGCTTGGCGCCTCGCCGCCCCTCGCCCCCCTTTTTGCTTGTCGCTTTGCCCTGCGAATTATGGTAGCGTTCTGTCTCAATTCCCCCTACACCGTCGTTTCCCATCTGGCCCTCCCTTGCACCGCTCGCCCCTTCCTCCCCCCTCTCATCTGCTGGCTCATCTGTTCTCCCCCCTTCGCCTGTTGCCCGCTGATGTCTACTGCGATTTCTCAGTCACCTCGTCTGCCTCCGTTCTGAACCTCGTCTTGGCTGCGTGGCCGTTAGACCCCGGGAATGGGGCTGCCCTGAACTCGGACGGGGTCATAACTGGGGTGCGTCCACCATCCTAGGCCCCCATCCAAGGATCCCAGGAGGCGACCACTTAGGTTGCCGCAGGGCTCCTCAACGCCGATCGGCCGGCGTCACCCTCGGGAAGCGACCACTTCTGCCTCCGCCATCTTCCGCACAAATTCCACCGGCATCCCACGAGGACCGAAGTGCGGGAAACGTTTTCAGGTCACTTGAACACCGAGCTATGTTTGCACCCCCCGTGGGGCGGATAAAACCTACCCCCCCCTGGGAACGCACACTGGTGCTTGAATTCGGTTTGGTGCATTCTGTCGGCACCAATGTTGACCCAACATGGGGCTCACATTCATATTCACACACACGCACTGCTGACTCACATCATGCTTGGGTCCATCATTCGTCGTCCCCTCATGTTGGGACGTCTACCCCACATGCGTTGACCCCCTGGTCACGGTGGTACGAGGCAGAAGTAGTTGCCACAGGATATGCGCTATGTGCACGCGTATCACACACCAGCACCAGGCGCCAACGTCGGTCCTTGCCCCAAGCTCTGGGACCAGTAGGTTCGACTACACGTAGGAGTGACCCTAGGCTAAAGTGATCTTTGGTGCGCGGCTTCAGGGGCGCCCGTAGGGGCCCAACGCAATCGCGCAAGCCGGCGTTGCCGCGCCGCATCAACGATCGGCGGGGTGCCACGCGTTTTTTTTTTTTTTTTTTTTTTTTTTTTTTTTTTTTTTTTTTTTTTTTTTTTTTTTTTTTTTTTTTTTTTTTTTTTTTTTTTTTTTTTTTTGTTTTTTTTTGTTATATATATGTTTTTTTTTGCGCCAGCGGGCAACCGCGGAATTCCGCCGATTGAATTCGAGCGCCCCGAATGGCACTTCGAAGGGCCTGCGAAAGCAGACGCTGCCGGGGGCCACCGCGATGAGGCCTGGCACTGCCGGGCTGCATCGCGATGACGTCTGACCAGGCCCGGCGCCATGGCCAAAACCGGCCCCATCCGAGAGCCCGGAATATGTTGGAATATCCTTTGGTAACTTATAACAGTAAAGATCCCCATGGGTTCGAAAAACATATTCAAAGATAGTCAAAGATATTCAAGCCGGACGTTGCGGGATTTGGGTTGGGATTCGGGACTGGTCCTGGGCAGGAAAACGCACCGTCTGGTCGACGGGCTCCCCCTCGGGTAACCGATGCAAGCTGTAGGGTTCGACGCGTATGCGTTGCTGTCGATTGCAAGGGGTGGGCCCAAACCTGGAGCGCTCAGATGCGAGCATAATAACGCGATGCGGGTGCCGACGCGAGGTCAAGCTCATTCCAAGAAAAAATCTCCCGACGCCCTTTGGGCCAGCACCAAAGGTCACTCCGGCGAAGGGTCACTCTTACGTGTAGTCGATAGGTATGCAACCCCAACCTTCACATCCGACGCCTACTTCAAGGGTGGGAGAGCCCAAGCGCCCCATCAGATTTCAGAGGGTTATGGCTACCCTTGAGGGCATCACCACTGCACGACAATCCTCCTCCTCCTCCTGCTGCTGCTGCTGCTCCTCCGCAGCCCGGCGACAGGGGCGCGGACCTGCCCCGAGGGCAGTGGGCGCTGCACCCCCAGGGTGCTCTCCCCAGGGCCGGCTCTTCATCCCGAGCCTCGGGGGCGTCCACGGCCCAGACCCCCCCCGAGCCATGGAGAAATTAGGACAAGACCTTTTCCGCTCGTCTCGGCCTCTGGGGGCCTCGGGGCCGTCAAGGAACGACTCGGGGCTGGGCCTCGGGGCCTTCAAGGAACGACTCGGGATGAGAGACCTGTCCCAGGGAACGGGTCCGGACCTCTGGGGTCGGCGTCGTGAAACAAGTCATGGCGCCAGGGCTCTGGGGAGGGGGTGTCCAGGAGGGGGGGGGCGCACATTATGGTCGGCGGCATGTGCGCGGTTGAGGGGGGGCGCTGGGGACGTACTGAAATTATCCCAGTGCGACCCTACCTAGGAGTTGGAACCCCTAGGAAAGCAGCATTAGTAGTAACAGTAACGCTAAGCTAAAGCTAAGCTAAAGCTAAGCTAAAGCTAAGCCACAGCTAAGCTAAAGCTAAGCTAAAGCTAAGCTAAAGCTAAGCTAAAGCTAAGCTAAAGCTAAGCTAAAGCTGAGCTAAAGCTGAGCAAAGCTAAGCTACAGCTAAGCTAAAGCTAAGCTAAAGCTAAGCTACAGCTAAGCTACAGCTAAGCTACAGCTAAGCTCAAGCTAAGCTAAAGCTAAGCTAAAGCTAAGCTAAAGCTAAGCTAAACGCTAAGCTAAACGCTAAGCGAAACGCTAAGCTAAAGCTAAGCTACAGCTAAGCTAAAGCTAAGCTAAAGCTAAAGCTAAAGCTAAAGCTAAAGCTAAAGCTCCCAGGGGACTGGGGGAACCGCCCGGGGCGTGTTCCACTGCCCGGCCCCTTTAAGCTAAGAGAGTAAGAACCCTTCTAGGCAGAGCCTAGGTAGGGAATAACAAACTCACGACTGATTGCGGGCAGATCTTGTGCTCAGCCTGCCACGGTGGCGGCCCCGGCGACACGCCATGCCTTGCAAGCGGACAGAGGGTCGCTCCGCTCCACAGGACGGGAGGCTGGGAAGAGTTCGGAACGTCGACGCTTGAGGGCCAAGACGTGGTCAGCGGGTCGCGCCGAAGCGCAGTGGGCCAAAATCGGCGGCGAGACACGCCAAGCAAAATTTCCTGACCATACGGCGCCCTGCCGTCCACTGAGATCCGGCGTTCGGGAAGAACTGCAACACCGCGATACATCAAGGCCAGAACCCCAGGCCCCATCTGCCCTCAACATGTTTCGAGCGGGATCGATCTGTGATGGGGGCTCGAAACCGGGCGAAAACGCCCAGTGTGAAAAAGCTGCAACGCCCAGATCTGAGGGGAGGAGGAGCCCGGCCCCGTGGCTTTCGGGCCATAACTCGTCTCTCTCTGGCGGCCGTTCGGGCCAATCTGGGCACCCTCAGTACGCCCTCGGCGAGGCGCAGCTGCTGGGAATCACCTCGGGCCTCGCCAACGCTCGAAAGCCTGAGACAACTAGCGAGAACGCCTGGTGTGCAACCATTCCAGACCTCCGACGTCATGTTTTTTTCATTAAGTCGACCCCTGGAAGTCTCGACCAATTCCCCTGGACCGGTTTTTCGTCCTGAGCCGTTTTTTGAGGGCCCCCAGAGGCCAAAACAACAAAAGACCTCCTGCCATGATTTTTTCATTGCCCGAGGGGGTCTGGCATTGCAGCGCCCGCATCTCAGGACCTCCCCGCTCCTCGGCGACGGCCGCTGGGGCCGGCGGCGGACCTCGGGCCGCAGCTGGACGTTCCTCGGCCACTGGTCCGCCTCGCCCACGGCGGCGAGGCGATCCGGGCTCCACACGCCGTGCTCGCGCCACACGTGGTGCGCCAGCTGCAGCGCCCCCGGGCCCTTGGCCTCGCCAGCCCGCCACGCCGCACCCGGGTCTCGGGGCGGGTCGCCTGGCGCGTGGCGCGCTCGCGCTCGCGCTCGAGGGGGTGACCTCTCGGAGCGGCTCGGGGACGCGGCGGATCGCCGGCAGAGAGCGTCCCGAGCCGCATCGAGATCGGAGCGCCGCTCCCGCCGGCCCTGGTGTGCTGCTGCCCTGCAAAAAAGCCAGCGGAGCTGCCCGAACAAAGCGCCACGAAGACGGCTGGCTGGTCCCCCGCCTCGCCCAGGCTCTCGGACCGCTGCCGCCGTCGCCGCTGTCGCCGCCGTCGTCGCCTGCGCCTGTGGACTACAGTCGGGGCATTGACCTAAGGAACCCTAAATAAGGAACGAGGTCCCTTTCTTCCATAAGTTCAACTTCGATTTCCTATCGGCAACAGAAGGGAAACCTGAAGCAAACTGTGAAGCAATCAAGGAACACGGAGCCCCTCCCCAACGAAAAGGGTTCCTTCGTCAGGGCCCCGACTGTATCCTGGCCAATCTCTCGGATTATGTCAAGGCGTGGCGCCGAAAACCCCCAGAAACGCCCAAACCGCCTGCGAAACGATCACGACGACGACGACGTCGCCGCCGTTGACGCTGTCGTCGCCGTGGCCGCCGCCGCCGCCGTCGCCGCCGTCGTCGCCGTCGTCGCCGTCGTCAGGAGGCGCCTCTCGCGGCGGCGGCCTCGGGCACGAAGGGGGCCCTGTGCCCCGGTGCCAGCGCCGGGTCCCCGTCGGGAGGGCTGGGGAGCGGGAGGACGTCCTCGCGGCGGCAGTGGGCTGCGGGCTGGGCGGACAGAGGCCTCCCGAACGTTGGGGCGGCGAGCCTGGGGTGGAAGTGGATTGAGGGTTCGAGTATCGAGGGGAGGGTCGCGATCGCCAGTGCATCGCCGATGCAGCGGCGACGTCGGCGATGCCTCGGCGCCGTCGGCGTGGCGAACATCGGGCTCCACGTTGAGCCGCGTCGCCCAGGGATTAGCGATGCGGCGCGATCCCTCGACCCCGTCTAATTAATCGGATCCCATCTGGGAGGCCTGGAGGTGAGGGAGGAGGAGGAGAATGATGAGGAAAATGAGGGATGAGGAGGAGGACGAGGAGGAGGAGGAGGTGGAGGAGGAGGAGGAGCAGGAGGAGGAGGAAGAGGAGGAGGAGCAGGAGGAGGAGGAGGAGGAGGAGGGGAGGAGGAGGAGGAGGAGGAGGAGGAGGAGGAGGAGGAGGAGGAGGAGGAGGAGGAGCAATAATGGGATGAGAACAATCGCGGGCACCCTGGACGCGCACCTAGCTAAAGCAGCAGCCGCAGCTCAAGCCACCAGCGCAGCAAGGACCGCCAACACCTGGTGACAAACAAATGAAATTCTGGATCAACGTGGCGGACGCGGACTTCCCGTGGGCGCGTGTTGCCTCAGCTAGAGCCAGTGGAACAAGTGGCTGGGATGCAGGACCCAACGCTGCACAAGGATCTGCCGTAGCCAGTAGCCAATGCCGAGAACAAAGCGCTCCACGCCCAGCAGAGGGCCGACAGCGTTCAGGAGGCAACGCGACAGACAGCCTCGGACCCGTTGGATGCGCACCAGCAGCTCGTGGAGGTAAGCTGGAGCTCGAAGAGGCGCGGGAGCTGGCCACGCAACAGCCCAAAAGAAATGAGGCCCCGCTGAGCCAGCTGCCCAAGGATCTCTGGACCGAGCTCGGCAAGCTCGCAGATCTCGTCGGCAAACTCATCTGGGAGACAATCTATTTCTGCCATCGTTTTCCCAAAGGCACAGAATACGCAGCCCGAGCAATGCAACAACCACTGCTCACCCTCGGGCCGAAATCACTAATTTTGCCTCAACGTCTTCCTAAACACAGAGGGCCCGCAACCCGCTTTGCGGAGCCAGTCATTGCTCACCCATGGGCCAACCTCGCCAATTTTGCTGGAACAGTTGTCGCCAAGCCTCGAGCGGATGTTTGAAGTGATGGCGCTGGTCGACGCTGAAGTTTCGCTGCTGCATGCTGTCATTCTCAGCACGCCTCTGGTGGGGACAGGAACTCGCAATTAGCGTCTTCTCCACACTCGTCGGGAACGATCACGAGGAGGGCGGCCTTGCGGGATGCGCGTGGGGAAACACATACGCCACTTATCTCAACTTCAGAAGCGCCACGAACTAGAATGACAAGGGTCTTTTTTTGCCTGAGCAAGGAGGGTCGCACCATGAACAAAGCACATGTTCTTGGGATAACCGAACAACACCTTCGAGACAAGAGGATCCCTGAAACAAAAGCATATACTTTCAACGCTGGGATGGGCACGCAACGCAATTGCGGCTTCTACTGGAGCCGGACAGGGGGCCAGAGGACATGGATGAATCTGGCTGACGGTAAACAAGGTTTGGGCAGGAGAACTTGCAGTGGTCTTCAGTCGGAGGTGAGGGGGTGAGATCGAAGTGGAACGGAGAGCCCCCATACCGGGAAATCGATTTCGGCTTCGTGTTCGTGCGTGCCGTGCGCGCGGGCGAGGCGAAGCTGCGTGGGCGGGCGAGAGGAAAATCTCCTGTGGCTGAGGCGCGGCCGGACCAAATGTGTCTCTTCCGGGCGGCCGGTGGCGCGCGGTGTCCCGCAGGTGTCCCGCTGGTGTTGATGATGATGATGATGATGATGATGATGCTGCTGATGATGATGATGATGATGATGATGATGTTGACACGTGATGTTGATGATGATGATTGTGATGATGGTGATGATGGTGATGATGGTGATTATGATGATGGTGGTGTCCCGATGATGTTGATGACCGTGATGATGATGTTGGTGTTGATGATGAGGACGGTGTCCCGATTATGATGATGTTGGTGCTGATGATGTTGATGTTGATGTTGTTGTTGATGATGATGACGTTGATTGTGAGAGCGGTTGTGATATCGATAGTGAGATCGATCGTGAGACCGAATGTGATATCGATTGTGAGATCGATTGTGAAATCGATAGTCAGATCAATTGTGAGATAGATTGAGTGAGATCGATTGTGAGATCGATCGAGGGATATCGATCGAGCGAGACCGATACTGAGATCGATAGTGAGATCGATAGTGAGACCGATCGAGTGAGACGTTGGTTCCTCCCCCCCCGAACCTCCTTATCACCCGAAGGGTGGTCGTATAGATATCAGTCGAATGCATTGCCATGATCTGGTTTTCACTTCAATGGGCTTGGGCCTCGCGGGACCAAACATCAAAGCCATCAATTGTATGGCCTCGTACGTCAAGGCTAAGAAGCCCACTTCCATCATCATAGCCGACTGGCACAACGAGCAGCACGAGATGAAACTGGTAATCTTGTCCATCTTGGGAGGAATCTGACAACAACCTGAGGAAGCTCAGCCTGGAAAGTATCGGCTCACATGCTACTGCCTGGTATCAGAACATACATTCCCCGGCCGACGTTTTTTTTCTCTTCTTGGAGTGAAATATATGTCAACACCAGTGGATCCAGTTGGATCCCTTTCTCGGATTGTAGCAATTTCGTGGATCCTATTTCTGTGTTGCGCAGATCCAATTCCCGTGTGTGAGCAACACATGGTTCCATTTATGTCCCCGGAGTAAATTTTAATAGTAATTACCCTTAAGGCCACACAGGAAATTGGATCCACGGGGCACTGCACGTGAGGCATGATGCTATCCACAGAGCTGTGGCTCTGCAGACCAATGCTCTGATTCTACGGGGGAAGGGTGTTCCCAGGATGAAGAGAAGGGGTGAGGGAGGAGGCAAGTGGAGGGGACATGATGAGAAAGGGGGACGGAGGTGTGAGTGGGATCTAGGAGGACAAATGAGGGAGGAGGGGTAAAGGAGGGAGGAGGGAAAAGGAGGAGGAGGCGGAGGAGGAGGAAGGATGGAGGCGGAGGAAGGAGGCAGGAGGGGGGAAAAGGCGGGAGGAGGGAGGGGAAGGATGACGAGTGGGAAGAGGAAGGAGATGAGGAGGAAGGACGAGGAGGACGAATACAAGCAAAGTTTCAAGCTCGGAAGCTCGAGCGCCACAGCGGGCCCAGCCACCTGCCCTAGCCCCTCCCATAACATGTGGGTGCTCGAGCGCCACAGTGGGCCTGGCCACCACACAAGCTCCTCCCATGACATACGGTTGCTCGGACGCCACAGCAGACCCGGCCAACGTCCCGCATCTCCTCCCATAACATGTGTCACGTCCCGATTCGAAGCGAACGCAACATACATCCACTCACTTGGACGGCACCGCGCTTCCGACATCTCGGGCTCAAGAGGAAAATCTTCCGGCCCGCATAAGTATTCGAGGTTTAGTGACCCTGCGCTGGAACTAGTGGGGGACCTTAGGCATCATCACACTGTGTCATCATTGAACTGCTGCACCGTTCAGCAACACCGGTGATGAGACGCATCATGCTGCGACCAATGTCGATCGTAGAAGCCTGTGGGTCCTGACCGGGAATGGTCCCACCAGCAGGAGCATGTCCACGAGATAATATCTGAAGGCTTGGCTCATCCGCGGCTGCAGAGCACACGACAAGGCAACGTGGACCACGTGCTCATGGAGGTCGTGTTGGTAACTGAAGACCTTCCATTCGCCCACCCAGTCTGACGCTCGGGATAAGCAATAGACGTTCTACCCCAATGACAGCCTAGTGCTGCTCCATAGCACAACGTCTACAAAATGGCAAACGTCATCCAACTCTCTTCCGCAACGGTCAGCCTTGCAAGCACGATTTCGCCCGCTGCAATTCGAAGGAAGGGGTGTGTGGCGCTTTGGTTCTGGGGGCGGTGGAGGCTACCGCAGGAATAACATCAGGACTGCATGGTCAGTCAGCAAGTGTAAAAGGTGGCCCAGACCAACTTTTGCGGATGTCCAAAGAACGACTTGGCACCCTTGGAGGTCTCTGCGAGGAACAACTGCGCTATCTGATCCGCAAGGCCGACGGTGCCGTGAAGCGCCTCGCCAAACACTTTCTGCACCAGAGTTCGCGAGCCTCTACGAAACGGGTGCAGGCCAGCCTCAGCAAGGGGGCAGGAGCTGTGCATCGACACACCAAAACTTGGAGAGCTGCAGAGACAGAGCTGCCTGCCACCAGCTAGGGATAGCACAGGGGCCCCGCTGGTAGAGCGTCTGCCCAACATCCAAGCTAAAACAGATGTTTGGCTGGGTTTCTGGAAACAGGAGGACAAGGGACTCCCCCAAGACCAGGCCTGGTGGCAAGACTTTCGACGACCAGCTCGGACATATAGATGTGCACTGGACCCTGACGAGAGTGAGCAAGGCTTGGATGGGGCTCAGGAGTTTCAAGCCTGTCATAGGGATGGGGGGTCGATCGCACCAAGTCCAGCTGGTGGCGACAACTACCCCAGAAGACGATTGCGCATTTAACGTGCTTCCTCAAATTCGCAGCGAGCAAACTTGAGCGTCCCCGGCAGGTCCTAGCCAACATAATACAGCTCATGCATAAAACCCAAGACGCGGATCGACCAATCACTTAAACTCAGGCTCCACAGGTGGCACGTTGCAGTGTGGTGGGAGGGGGAGGGAGAAGACGGGACGATAATGACGACGATGATGCTGATGATGCTGGTGCTGATGATGCTGATGATGCAGATCATGGGGGAGTAGGAAGATGATGATGAGGAGGATGAGGATGACGATGAGGATGATGATGAGGATGCTGATGATGATGATGCTAATGATGGTGGTGGTGATGATGATGATGTCGATTACGATCACGATCACGATGATGATGACGATGAGGATGACGGTCATGATTATTGTGA